AAAAAAAAAAAAAAGTTCTTGAGTTTAGAGTATGAGCATTTTGGGGGGCATTATTCTGCCCTGCAATTAAACACAGTAGTATAATACACTTATATGTGGCATAGACAGAGGTGTTCAGGGAGAACTCTGTGGAGGACATGAGTTTGTCCCTGAAAGATGCATAAGGACTTAGAGGGAAAAAAAAATGGTCTCTAAATTCAGGAGGGATATTATTAAGGTCATATTTTGGCTCTCATGGACTTGTTTTCATTCTCTTCAACTTCAACTTGAACAGGCACATGAGCAGTTGATGGTCTGTTCCACAATCAGCTCTTAGCCTTGTTTTGTCTGAAGACGCTGAACTTTTCCATGCCTTGCCACAGCTGTAGTCAGTCTGATTCCTGTGTATTCCATCTGGTGAAGTTCATGTGTATAGTCGTCACTTATGTTGTTGAAAATTATAATTGCAATGAATAAGTCGTTGGTCTTGCAAAGTTCTATCATGTGATCTCCAGTGTTATTTCTATCTCCAAGGCCATATTTCCCAACTACTGGTAACTCTTCGTTTCCAACTTTTGCATTGCAGTCACCAGTGATCATCAACACATCTTGATTGCATGTTCGGTCAATTTCAGACTGCAGAAGTTGGTAGAAATCTTCAGTTTCCTTATCTTTGGCTTTGGTGGTTGGTGTGTAAATTTGAATAACAGTAGTATTAACTGGTCTTCCTTGTAAGCAGATGGATATTATCCTATCACTGACAGCATTGTACTTCAGGGCAGATCTTGAAACAGTTTGTGACGATGAATACCACACCATTCCTGTTCAATTTGTTACTCCTGGCATAGTAGATCATCATATGGTCATCTGATTCAAAATGGCCCAAAACGGTCCATTCTAGCTCACTAATGCCTAGGATATTGATCTTTATGCATTCCATTTCATTTTTAACAATTTCCAATTTTCTTAGATTCATACTTTGTACATTCCATGTTCCAATTATTAATGGGTGTTTGCATCTGTTTCTACTCATTTTGAGTCATGCCACATCAGCCAATGGAGGTCCCAAAAGCTTTACTCTATCCATGTTGTTAAGGTTATCTCTACTCTGAGGAGTCAGTTCTTCCCCAAATTCTGAGACCCTTCCAACCTGATGGGCTCATCTTCCAGCACTATATTGGACAATGTTTCAGGGTTATTCATACAGTTTTCCAGTAATATATCAGACAGTGTTTCACTGCCATTCATAAGGTTTTCACTGGCCAATTCTTTGAGAAGTGTATGGCCTCCTCCTTCTTCCAAGTCTGTCTTAGACCAGAAGCTCTGCTGAAACCTGCCCACCATGGGTAACCCTGCTGGCATTTTGCAACATGGTGGCATTGCTTCCAGCCTCATAGCAACATGCAGGCCACCACAGGACAACAAACTGACAGACAAGTTCATCTCCCTTAGTTGCTCCTAACCCCTCTGCACCTGTCTAACTTGGGCAATGGCCTTAAAATAGAGCTGCCCACAAGTGAAAAGCAGCCCCTGAGCCCTGGCCCACCTATCTTGAGCCCTGGCCTTTATATTGAGCCACACCCAAGCAAAAAGCAGACTCCATGATTCAGGCACGCCTACCTCAGGCCTTGGCCTTAATAAAGAGTCACACCCAAGCAGAAAGCAGCCTCCAAGCCTCAGGCCTGCCTACCTCAGGCCCCGACCTTAATATAGAGCCACACTCAAGTGAAAAGAAGCCTCCAAGTCCTAGGCCCACCTATCTAAGGCCTTGGCCTTAATATAGAGCCACCCCCAAGTGAAAAGCAGCCTCCAAAGATTAAATGGGTTTATATAAATCACGTAGAATAGCTCCTGGCACACATTTGGTTCTCAGTAAATACTATAATTATTTTCACCATTATCTTTAACATTACTCTCATGTTTATTTTACAGATGGCAAAGCCATTGCTTAAAGGGATTGAGTGATTTGTCCAAGGTCCCATAGCTAGCAAGTAGAGAAGTTAAATTTGTCTCCTCACTAATTCAGGAAGACAACATCTAAACAGGGGACCAGCCTCCAAGGTCAAAGCGCCCTAATTCATTCACTCCTTTTTCTGAATCTCGATGGAAAGGCCTGTCTGTGCCATTCTTTTGCCCACAAACCATGCATATTTAAACTGATTAGGGGCTTCATCTTGGGTGTCATAATCCTCTCTTCACTGTGGTGTGATGTTCTTCAAAGGCTCTGTCACACTGCCTTATACTTACTACTGTGTTTATTATAGAAACAAGTCACAATAAGCCCAAAGGATCACAGTGAGTGACTGAGTGCATACTGAGCCGAGAAAAGAGGGCCTTGGGCAAGGGGTAGGGAGGCCATCATCCATCTTGATGGGCACAGCCTCTGCTAGGTCAAGAATTGGAGTCAGTACCCTGTGATGGACAAAGCAGCCCCACAGAAAAGGAGGCAAAGGCAATTTAGGAAAAATTAAGAAAACCCTAACTCACCTGGGGCCTGGCTTTCAGGAATAAACTGGTTGTTCCCTTTTCTCCCGGGTGTCTTTCTGAAGGAAGAGCAGGCTTCCAAGAAGGGAGAGCTGGAAAGGTAAAAGGAGCCATCAGGGAGGTATTTATAGTTCCTGGACTCCCCAAGATGGATATTCCTACATAGTTCTTGCACATCACCTTCATGGTTATGAGGACAGAGCTGGGTCAAAGGGCACTGAGAGGCAAACCCTAGTATGCACCTATCAGAAAATGCCCTGTACAAAGCTTCATGAGACCACCATATGTCCACAGGGCCACAGCAGGTTGTAAGTAAATGAAGTGTGACCACATTTTGGCCACTCCATTGAAGAGATATTTACTGGGCCTACTATATGCAGGTCCTGTGCAAGGCCTTTTGAATACATAAACATGGAGACCTTGAAAGAATTTTAAATGTAGTCAGGGAGGATAAGTCAAGGGCCCAAGAAATATAGATCAAGGCCATGAACAAATATGAGGTCTTAGGAGCTCTGGTAGCTTAGTGCCTAAGGCATTTGACTGCTAACCAGAAGACTGGCGGTTCAAACCCATCAGCCATTCCTCAGAAAGAAGAACAGGCAATCTACTTTCATAGTGATACCACCTCCAAAACTCAAGGAGGGGTCGCTATGAGTCAGATCTGACTCGACAGCAGTGGGAGAGGGAAGTTACACCTCTCCCCTCGTATTTGGGAACCCAGCTCAGAGGAGAGCTATTCCTGAGAAGCTGACCTGGGTATTCCCAAGCACAGTTAGGTCTCTGCAGCCATTTTTAGAGTCCCTTTATTATAGGGTTTTATATTACACTCTTTTAAGCCTTAAAACAAAACAAAACAAAAACCCTAACTCCGGCCATTCAGAGAACTATAGCTAACCAACAAGGAAATAAAGCATGGAAGTAGGCAGGTAGCACTTTTCAGACATTGATGAGTATCTTGCTGATATAGAGCCTTTGGTTCAGTGGGGGTTGAGTAGGGCCTGAGACTGTGCATTTCTAAACAGCTCCCAGGTGATGCCAATGACTGCTGGTCCACAGATCACACTCTGAGAAACAAGGGCAGAGAGGGAAGAAGAGGAGATGGGAGGCCCAGGGATTAATTCTGCCAGTTTAGTGATCTTAGACATGTGCACTGAAAAAATCAAACGTTGAATTAAAATGTCCACTGCTGAAGGACAGGAGGTTACAAACTTAGAATAGCTTAAAACCTTGGATTCCCTGCTCCCCCAACACAAATGAGGTGGCTCACAGGACTTAGTGATCTTGTACACTGCTACCTTGTACAAAACCGTGATAGGAGAGCTGGAGAAATCTTATTACTGAGGTGATCAAGGAAGCAGGTGGCAAGGTTCCAAATAGCCCACTGTCTTCCAATCCCTGGTCAGAGGCCATTCCCCTAGGGTTGGTTCCTCCTCTCCCCTGAGCAGGAAGAGATCTTCTCCTGCCCTGCCCACTTTCCTTGTGCAGCTCAGCTGTTCCCTCTCTCCTCTGGCCTTTGGGACAAGTCTTCCTTGGCTATCCGTCATGGTGTCTTGCTGCTGAGGTTTCATTCTCCTCGGCCTTTTGTTGTTGTTGTTACGTGCTGTCGAGTCAGACCCACTCATAGTGACCCCTCGTTGGGTTTCCGAGGCAGTGTCACTATGGAAGTAGATTGCCCAACCTTCTTTCCTAAGAGTGGCTGGTTGGTTTGAACCACCAGCCTTCTAGTGAGCAGTCAAGTGCCACTACACCACCAGAGGTTAGAAATCCTACAGGGAAGGCAGATGCAGGCTTTGCCCCCACACTGGCATTCCCTGGCCTCTTCCTAGGATCCTCCTCCTCCTAGGCCTGGTACTAACTCCCCAGGAGGGCTTCTGGCCCTCTGCACCCTTAGGAGCCAAACCTGATGGTGTAGAGTCCATAGCTGGGGCTAAGGGGCGACGTCCTTTCACTAGGTCCAAATCTCTGTTCTTTGGCTGGGGCCCTGTAGTCTTCCTGAGGGTTTAGGGAGCCAGGAGCAAGCTGTGGCCGCCTGTATAACAAAGGGCATTCCCACTCCAAGCAGTGGCGCCAACCAAACCCCGCAGGGCACAGAGCTGTCAAACCCGGAACACCTTCCGGCGCCTAGCGCTGCTGCCCTGGGGCTTTGCTTTTCTCCCGCTAGCTCAGAACGTCCTCTCAGACCCCTCGCAAGCCAGGTCTCCGCCAACTGGCTCCGCTCCGCAGTCCTTCTCCTTGACACCAGGCTCCACGTAGACCTACACTCGCAGTGGCGATCATACAAGCGGAGACACCGCCGTAGTCACACCTGCGACCTACAGTGCCCAGCGTTCCTCCACTCCCCTGAGACGAAAAGGATTTCGGCCAGAGCCTCTCAGGGATCAGAGACCGACCCTGCCAACTTTGCCTCTTCCACTTTTCAACTACAGGCCTCCACAGCCCCTCGCAAGAGGGCAGGCGGAGGGACAATCCCAACTCTATAATTGGCTCTCGGTGCAGAAGCCAAGGTGATAGTGAGCGCGGCTAGCCGCCGAACCCACAAAGACGAAAGCAACACCCTTATTCTAGCCCCTCCTTCCGATACCCGTCCAGAGCCTGCGCAGACGCGCTCGCGCCGGAGTGAGGTGGGGGGGGGCCCGTTCCAGCGCGCGGCCGCAAAGGGTCCGCAGGGCGTGGCTAGCAGCGCAGTAGCTTTGATGAACCTGGCCAGGCGCACGCGCGGGCTGGTTCAGGCGGCTTTTGTGCTCCCACGTTTGCTGGGAGAAGCAGTGGCCTCCAGGGACTGGCGGAGTGGGATTTACCCCTTCTCCCCTACAGGCTGGGACCTGCGAGTAATTCTCTTTTCTGGAGGATAGCCGGGTTAGGAGCTGTCCAACAGAAGGCACTGGAATTTTGTTAAATGACAGAAGTTTTGCCTTACCCTGGATTTGCCGAATAAGGACTTCATGGAGCCGCTCCCGGCGTGTGTGCCACATTTTTTCCAAATATGACGCCTCCGTATAAATAACACATGCGCATATAGATCTTACAGCGCTCATTGGAAACTAATGGAGGTTGAGCGGTTTGCAAAAAAGTATAAGGCGCCTGTTACTTGCGTAAAAATACGGTGTTTGTTACAACGTGCCCGGGAGATACTGACTTACTGCTAGATTCTACCTATTACCCGACAGTGCCACGCTTCTCCACCCTTCTCCCTCTTCCCTCAGCTCTGGTCAGCGAAGGGTGGCATGGAAAAAGGCAGGTGTTTGGACCCCCTCCTGGTCCAGAAACGAGTATCACTTAGCTCCCAAAAGAAATGAAGAAACAAACGGTTTGAGTAGTTAAATAGTGGTTCTCTGAAGTCAGTCCCCAGTCAGAGACTTGTGAGGACTGAGAGGATGTTTAGCAATCCTAGTTAAGGATTCAGAAGCAAATAACCCATAAAACCAAAGTAAAAGAGCCATTTTCCTTTCTTGCCCCCCCCCCCAAAGTCTCTGTTTTACTTATCGGCCAGCACATATGGTGGCACGGATAGACAGGAGAGCACAGAGGACCTAGTGTCCAGTAAGCAAGTCTTTTTCCTCTCAAAAAGGAGGGCTGCCTGGCTGCCATGGCTGACCTGGACGTTTCAGGTCACATCTCCTGTGCTCTGGAGCCAAAAATATGAGGGGGGGGGGGGAGGAAGGACAAATGAAAAAAGATTTTCATGTCATTGATGGCTCAATACAAGCTCTAGGTAGAAGGGCAACTGCTTCAGATAAACTTGAGGGGCACTGTCTGTCCCTGATCTTTCCCACTGACCTGCTATAGTGTCTGAAATTTCCCACTCTTACATGTGGTCCTTTGGACAGACTTTGATCCAAAGGCCCTTGTTGACAATGCATATTTGTTATCCAGGAGAGGAAGTCAATAGCTTAATGGATATTGGAGTGCTCTAGCATGCCATTTGATTCTAAAATACTCTTATGGGGTATTCCAGTCCACACTAGCCTGATAACTTCCCCATCACCCCCAAAATTGCCTTTTGCTGCTTCTTGTAGTCAAACCTTTCTCCACCCTAACCCCTGTGACCACTGCTCTGCACTTCATCTCTATTGGTTTGCCTTTTCCAGTAAGTCATAAATAATATGGTATGTATCCTTTTGCAACTGGCTTCTTTTACTCAGTTTAAGGCCCTTGAGAGCACCCATATTTTTGTGTGTCAATAGTTTATTCCTTTTTATTCTGAACCCAGCTATCTTTTAAGGAAGGTTCTCAGAAAGTGCTATACAATACATCCACCTACATCCCATTTACCAGAACACATGACTACACCTGGTACTCAAGCCTGTACCATTAGCAGTTGCTGTTGAGTTGACTGACTCCTGGTGACACCATGTATGTAAGCATGGAACTGTGCTCTATAGGATTATAATGACTGATTTTTGGGGAAGTAAACCACCAGACCTTTTTTCTAAGGCACTTCTGGGTGGACTCAAATGCCGGACTTTTGGTCAGTAGCTGAGCATGTTAACTGTTTGCACCACTCAAGGACAGCAGCTACAGAAAGGTAGTCTTTAGTCTTGTGCCCAACTAGAAATTCTGTAACCACAGAACACAGAAAGAAAGGATAATGGAGACATCAGATTTTAAAAACAATATTGGTAAACTGTAGTTCGTCCAGAGGAAGTACAAACAGAATAGTAAGAGCATCTCTGTCAATCAAATTCGCCTAAAGGAGATGGTTTACTTTAGTTAAAGGAACTTGGAGAACTAATTATGAAAAATTTTAAAAAGTGAATAATTGGCTGAGGTTTGTTTAGGGTAGAACTGACGCACAGACTCCTAGATGTCATCTATGTGTTCTGGCAGACAGAGCCTCCTTAACTAACATGGGGACCCTTGATTTATCTGGTGCTAGGAGATCGATGCTGAAACAGGTGCTGGGACACAATTAGGGTTCAGACATATGCAGTTATTTCTGTGGATTAAGTATGTCCCCATGGCAGTCATTTTGCCAAAAGAGATGAAACAAACAAAAACGTAGAAGGAAAAAGCCAATCTGACTTGATATCAGACCTAGGTCTCAGAAGAAGCAGTGTTGCCAGTTATAGTGTGAAATTGTACCTCGATATTGCTCTTCCACTTTACACACCTAGCTTCCTGATGACACATACATCCCAGGAAGGATAAATGGTAGTAGAAAATAAAGAATATATTTTGGTTCTCTACTGCTGCTATAGGAGCTCTGGTAGCATAGTGCCTAAGGCACTGCTAACCAGAAGACTGGTGGCTCAAACCCACCAGCCACTCCTCAGAAGAAAGGTTGGACAATCTACTTCCGTAGTGATACTGCCTCAGAAACCCAAGGAGGGGGTCACTATGAGTCAGGTCCAACTCAAGGGCACATAACAACAACAACAATAACAACCGTGCTGCTATAATAGACATACCACAAATGTATGGCTTCATCACAAACAGGGATTTGTTCTCTTACAGTTTAGAAGGCTAGAAGTCTGAGTTCAAGGTGCTGGCTCTAGGGACTGAGTAAAGTCCCCTCGACCATGGGCTTCAGTTCTGCCTCTTGCTCCTGGCCCCCTGGAGCTGGAGACATCTCTTAACCCAGGCAGCTTCTGGCTGCTGAGGCTGACAAACCCAAGGTTGACAAGTAAAATGGCACAGTCCCAAGATTATCAAGCAACACGGCAGGCCTCTAGTTCAAGTCCAGAAACAGTCCCAAGATAGGCTGCTGCCCAGCCACTCAAAACTATGCCCAGTCAAGTTGACACACACCTTAACTATCACAGAATATTACCACTAAGATCCCAAAACCATTTGCCAAGACCAACCATCATCTCCTCCAAACACTAAGTGGCAAAACTGAAAACATTTATCCCTAAGGGACTTGTGGTGAAATGAGTTCCTTTATGTGGCCTTTTGCTTTGGTTCTTCGGAAAAACAGCTTGAGATTTTCACTCTAAACCCTGCAGAGTTAACTTTGTCCTCATTTTCTACTCCAGAGGGTTTATTATTTTTGTCTAGGTTTGTTGACATGTCCTGGGTAAGTTGTAAGCAACTTGTAGTTTGATACTTTTTATCTTGCTCTGCCTGCAGCCTGCCCTGCGATTTGTATGCACCTTGCAAGAATTGGCCAATATTCTATCCAAATGAGGTGACCATGGACTGTGAAAATTAGGTGAATATATACAGCCTATTACTCAAATGACTTGGAAGGAGGATGGGGCAATCTATTTCCATAGTGATACTGCCTCAGAAACCCAAGGAGGAGTCACTATGAGTCGGGTCCAACTTGAAGGCACATAACAACAACAGCTACTCAAATGAATTGTCTGTGGCCTACTGAAAGGGGATTAGTCAGTTTGTGGTCCCCCCTGCTGGGAAGGGCCAAACCTTGAAATTGACAAGGAGTTGTGCATATATGCAGCCAACCCTACAGAGGATTTTCAGACATAAAGAAGCAGGATGAGATGCAGAAGGAAGGAAGAAAGAGAGAGAGAGAGGCAAGAAACATCCTAAAAGAGCTATAACATGGGTCAAGGGCTGTGACACTGAAGATGAGAAGGGCCCAGAAGGGACTCAGTGACAGAGCCAGGGATCACAGGCCCAGAAAGGGCCCAGCAACAGAACTGATGATGACAGGCCAAGATAGGGGCCTAGTGGCAGAGTTAGTGGTGACAGATGGCAGGGCTAAATGGAGCCTGTCCTAAGGGGGCCAAGAGGAGGCCTGCATGGCCCAGATGAGGCTGACAGAGCTGTCCCGCAGTGAAGACAAGAGACTTGCCCTACATACTTCCTGATCCTGAGTTGTACCCTGTTACTTCCTTAATAAACCATTTAACTGTAAGTATGGTTTGTGAGTTCTGTGTGGCCATGGCAATGGATTATCAAACCCAGAGGGAAGTAGAAAATCCCACAGGAGGGACAGCTGGTGAACTGGTAAAAAGGCTAGAGAATGGAGGTAAGTCTGATCTCACTTTTAAAGGGATAACTTTTAGCCCTATCTGGATTCACATTATCCCCCCTGAAGTTAGAAAGGTTCTGATGCTACTATCCTTTACAGGCCCACTGCCACTCTGTTAGGATGTCACCTCTAAAGAGGCCACATGATATAAGAGCAAGAGGATTTCTTCCTAGTGAGAGTGAAAGACAACAACTAGTTTGAGGTGGTTTGTTGCACAACAGATATCCATAACATCCTGCAGTTTGGCAGAGCCCACAAGCTGGTCAATCTAGGAGATAACCATTTCATTCAAAAGAAGATGTATGTCTGTTGTTTCTCAGCTGCTTAGGCCCCATATGACTTCTTTAACTCTTATGGGAAAGTCAGCTAAAATTCTCTAAATCATTCAGATAACATGGTGGGTTAGATACCACAAACAACCTAATTGAAAAATTAAAAATGCTGAAAGAAACATGAAACATTTTTATAAATACTCTGGTGATCAAGCATGAAAGTGAAAAATCTACATATTTTTTTTTTCCAGAAAATGAAATGAGAGCCAGAACCCTGGGAGGTAAGTGAGCAGCAAACCTGGTTTTTACCCTACTAAGCCCTGAAGAACTTGTGTCCACTTTGAAAGTTAGCTGGAGAACTAAGAATAGAAATGAAGCTAAGAGTTTGCTCAAGGGTAGGGAATTCTGGAAGAAAATACATTTGGATCCCACAGTTTCCACTCTCAGCATAAAGTTAAATGACAAATAAAACCCACTACACAAAAGGAAATAGTAAGAAAACACATCTGTCTTGTGTGTCAAGTTGCCGTCAAGTTGGCTCAAATTCATAGCAACTCATGTACAACAGAATGAAACATTACCTGGTCCCATGCCATCTTCATGATTGTTGGTATATTTGAGTTCATTCTTGTGGCTATGGTGCCTTCCAACTTACAGGCCTATCTTCTAGCATTATCTCTAACAACATTCTGTTGTTTTTATTGGCTAATTTTTGGAAGTAGCAAGGAACTCTGGTGGCATAATGCCTAAAACTTTTGACTGCTAGCTAGAAGGTTGGCAGTTCAAACCCACCAGCCACTCCATGGAAGGAAGACTTGGCAATCTACTTCCCTGAATATTTACTGCCTTGGAAATCCAAAGGGGGTCACTATGAGTTAGAATCAACTTGATGGCAGTGAGGGCTTTTTGTTTGTTTATTTTTGGAAGTAGATTATCAGGCCTTTCTTCTTAACCTTAGTTTGGAAGTTCTGCTGAAACCTGTCCTCTATGGGTGACCCTGCTAGAATTTGAAATACTGGCAGCATAGCTTCCAGCATCACAGCAATATGCAAGCCACCACAATATGACAAACTGACAGACAGGTCGTGGGTTATGACTTTAAAAATGTCTAGTTTTCCAAGAAGGTCCAGAACCCTTAGTCCAGCACAAAATCTGCTGCAATCTAGCACCATGGCACTATCAGCCCCTTGACCCTATCCACCAGCCACTCCTTTTGCTAATTCTTTGTATTTTTTTCCTCTGGACTAAATCTTTGCATGTGTTATTCTGCCTACAGTGCCCCTTTCTCTCTTCTTAAGAAAGTATTTGCTCATTCTTCAAGTGCACCAATTATAAAAGCCTTTTCTAACTTTCTAACATAGTTAATTATTTCCTCCACTGTACTCCCATAGTGTTTGGGACATGATATACTTATGAAGCATACTGCATTGTGTTAGAGTAATTTTACATTCTGATTTTTCCCTTTTGAACTATGAGTAGGCTGGGAGCAGTAACTATGTCTTAGTCATATTTGTAACCACCTTGCCTATGGTGGACAATTTAAGTTTCTTGACTGAAAAGTGCAGACTTATTCCTTAAGTAGAATTTTGTCATATTTTTAATCATATCTTTTTTTTTTTCTGAAATTCTAGCTCAGCGATTCTAACTTCAGCTGCATATTAGGATGACCTGCCAATCTTTTCAAACTCTCTCTCCTCAGAGTCAGTTCTAGTCATCAGTGTTTCTAATCTAAACTCTTCAGGTGAGTCTAGCATGCAGTCAAGGTTGAGAGCCCCTGGAATGTCCCTAGCCAGGGCTCTTCCAGCAGCACCAAGGAAGATAGGCTGTTGTGTGCTCAAACTGTGAGGAAACACACTTGTATCCAGGCACTGCTGCCTTAGGCCGAAAGCTGTCCTTAGAACCAAACTCTGAGCCTCTCCAGCCCAAATTTTAGAACCAAAGCGGAGAAGATGAAATGGAAACAATTCCTTTCCAAGCGCGGGGAGAACAGGGCCAGAGGCCCAATGAGGTGAAAACCATGGCTAGTGATAGGCAACAAGGATCAGACACACATATTTCCTTCCTTTGCAGAGGGCTCTTAACTATCGGAGAACTGCAGGGACGTGACAACACACATGGACAATGCTTCCAGGTTGCCGATATGCCCAGGCACCCATGACGGTTCTCCTCCAACGCTAAGGCAATCCCCCTGCCATGTTGGATCCTGTGCAGCATCATCAGCCTTTCAGGAGCGTATGCTCACTCTCATTTTCATACGTCATAGGAAAGCGCGCCGGTCGCTGAGAGTCCTGGGAAGTGGAGTCTGTGCGAAAGCCGTACATTGATTGGATGTGCAGGCGCCAGAACCTTTGCGCAGACGCACTGCTTTCCCCACCTGAAGAGGCGCCGTCTTCCTGGGTCCCGAGCATTCTCCGCTCGAGGTGAGGACTGCGATTGTGTCTTAGAGGAGCGGAGTGACCAGAGCGGCAGAGATTAGGGGACACTGAGAATTTGGAGAGGGGGTGGGTGCTGTGGGAGAAGAACAGGGTGACGCGGGGCTGAATCAGTCTACAGTGTGCGTGCAGCGACGTCCCGACTCCAAGAGGTGGGAACGGAAAATTTTTTCCCGGATGTGTGCGTGTCTCGTGGGGTGTGGGCACTGTTACGAGCGGTCTTACAGCGTGTACCCCACTATATGTCAGATATTGGACTTTCAGGCTGGGTGTTTGTTGTCCTCTTCCATTCCTTCTGTTCTTCTCATAAACCAGAAAACAGCCATTGTGGTGGAGTGGATTCTAACTCATAGCGGCCTTGTAAGGCGGAGTAGAACTGCTCTTAGGGTTTCCAAGGCTGTAAATCTTTACGGAAGCAGACTGCCTCCTCGTCGTCTTTCTCCCATGGAGCTGCTAGTGGGTTCCAACTGTGGACCTTGTGGTTAGCAGCGGAGCGCTTTAATTTAACCCCTGCACCACCAGGGCTCCTTGTTCTCCCCATAAAGGGTAAAGAGTGCTTAAATTAGTTGGAATTGGCACCCTAAATCTAGGGTTCTGCCTACTCCAGGCCCTCCCTCTTTCTCAGAAAGCGCCTCAGATTGCCTGTTTCTCTCCCTGCCTTGGGCCACTGCGGGAGTGATCAGGGAGGCTTCACCGAGTAGGTTGTGTTTGCTTGCGGGAGTGGGTACTTCAAAATGAAGTGCCAAAGCGTTACGCAAATTTGAGGGAGATTTAACTGGACTGAAATTTAAAGGAATAGTGGGAGACAAAGGTGGAGAAGAGTAACAGGCCAGGACACAGAGTATCAGGGGAAGCAAGACTCACTAGGTAGAGTGTATTGTGTGGGTCCTGGGGACAGATCTGAATAAAATTATTTTAAAATTATTCCTTTCTAGTTACATCCAGGACTAGAGAGGAGAGGGAATAGTGGCAGTGAGCCAGTTAGAAATCTGTAGTAGTAAGCTTGAACAAGCAGTCCTGGGGGTACAAAAAGGTGGTGGTGGTGGTTATGTGCCAGTAGGAGAGTCAAACCCATTAGCAGCTCCAGCTCCTCAGAGAAAAGACTTGGTGATCTGCTCCCAAAAAGATTACAGCCTAGGAAAGCCTATGGGGCAGTGCTACTCTGTCATTTAGGCCTCTGTGAGTCAGAATGCATTCCATTGCACACAACAACAACAATATTCAAGCTAGCTGTTAGGGACTTAAATTATGATGGTGTTAGTGCTAGGGAAGGCTACAAATGACATTGTAAAAGAAGACTCAAAAGGACCTGCTGACTAAGTTTGAGAGGAAAGAGAGCAAGGTAAGAAGTTTGAGTTTTGGGCAATTGGGAGAATAATAATAATAATAATAATAATAATAATAAAAAATATCCACTGTCATCAAGTGGATTCCAACTTACAGTGACCCTATAGGACAGAGTAGGACTGCCCCATAGGGTTTCCATGGCTGTATATCTTTAGGGAAGCAGATTGCTTCATCTTTTTACTGCAAAGGGGCTGGTGGGTTCAAACTACCAATCTTTTGATTAGTAGCCAAGAATGCTTTAACTACTGTGCCACCACGGATCCTTTCTTAGCAGAAAACCAAAACCAAACTCACTGCCGTTGAGTCGGATCTGACTCATAGCAACCATTCCTTGAGTTTCTGAGGCAGTATCACTACAGAAGTAGATTGCCCAACCTTCCTTACGAGTGGCTGGTGGGTTTGAACCACTAGCCTTCTGGTTAGCAGTCAAATGCCTTAGGCACTATGCCACCAGAGCTCTCTTCTTAGCAGAAGTGGAATATAAAATAAGTTTTGGGAAGGAGATGGGACATTTTAGAAAAACAAACAAAAAACACCTCAAGTACAAAGATGAGGAGACAGGTCTTTACACGGAAAGTTTTAACAATTGTTTAGAACAGCAGAAGTATAGGCAGTGATGAACGCTGGCAAGGGCCAGCCAGATAGAGGAGAGTTTGTAGGGCCTCTTTTCTATAGGCATGGGATCATTGAAGGATTTAATAAGCATGAAGTGTCATCATCAGACTTGGATTTTAGAAAGATCATTGCATCTTGTACCAAGGGCCTTAAAAAAACAAAACAAAAACATACTGTTTGACCCAGCAGTTCTCTCGTAGGAATTTATCCTAAGGAAATAATTAAAATATGTCAAACTTTTTATTAATCATTAACCCTAACCTCACTGAGGGTAATTGTCAGGCAGCTTTCTAAGCACTTTACATACATTAACTCATTTAATCCTTAATAGTAATACACTGAAAAATGAGAAATACGTTGAACTTCCAAAATAGAAGATTTGTATAGTAATTTTATGGCCTATCTGTACAGTGGAATATCATGCAGCCATTAAACATCATGTTAATGACAGCTAGCATTCATCGAGCATATGCTGTTTACCAGGCACTATACTAAGTGCTTTTTATAAAGATAATTTAATACCATCGTCAGAAGCCAATAAGGCAAGGACTGTTTTACACTGTAGGAAATGTAGGCTTAGAAAAGTGAAATAACTTGTATCGTAAGAAGATGAGGTAGAGTTTAAACCCATGTCTGTCTGGCAGCTTTTAACCTCTGTGCTAAGATGATTTATTTTTATTAAAAGATAGCAACATAAAAAATAGACCAATAGACTAGAATAGAAAATCCCAGAGGATATCCAGACAGAGAAACTTGATATGGGACTGAAGTGGGATTTCAAACGACAGAGAAAAAGCTCACTAGTGAAAAACTGCAAACAACTTAAACATTTATCAAGAAAATAATGAATAACTTGTGAGATATATATATATATATATATACACATATATATACACACATACATACACACACTCACATACGTATTCTATGTATCATGTTAATATAATTTGTTATGATTGCATAATGGTACCATTCACAGGAATGAGCAACAGAGAAGCAGGTTTGGAGGGAGAGTCAATATTATGTCACTTATTTGTTAACATAATTATTGAGCAAAAAGTAAGAAAGTTATAGAATAACTTAACTGTATAATGTTTACATAAAACTTTCAAACAGGTAAATAATACCTGTAAAAAGTTTGCAAACATCTAAAACCAAAAAAAACAAATCAACTGCTGTAGAACATTCTGACTCATGGTGAACCTACAGGACAGAGTAGCACTGCCCCATAGTGTTTCTGAGGCTGTAAATCTTTACGGAAGTGGACTGCCTCATCTTTCTCCCACAAGCAGCTGGTGGAGTAGAACCACCGACCTTTTAGTTACCATTGCAATGCTTTAATCACAGTGCCACCAGATCTCCTTGCAAACATCTGTGTAGAACAATGAAGCACCAAATTGTGGGTATCTGGGAAGGAAGGGGAATGGGATTAGAGGGAGATATCCAGAAGACTTCAACTTTGTAATATTTTGTTTCTTACAAAAAAAATCTGAAGGGAAAAAATAAATTCACAAAATATGAAGAATGTATATTCTTAAATTACATATTTGTATGAACATGTGTACAGAAAAAAGACTAGAAGAATATATCATACAATGTAAATACAGTGTAAGTGGTGGCATTACACATGATTTTTACTTAATTTCCTATAATTCTTCATATTCTCTTTTTTTCTCGTAGTAATATGTATTTAGTGTACAGAAAGAATAACAGGAAGGAAAGAGTGGCAGGGTACATAAAAGAGTTAACATAGTTGGCCTGAAACTGCTTTCTTTAGAAAGATCTGCTTTGGCTGGCATCTGGGAACTTGGATTTCTGGAGGGTTCCCACTGTTCCCTAAGAATAAGGGCAGTCCACTTTGTCCAGACTGTGCAAACAGTGTGGTTTAAGATGAACACCTGCTTTCCTTCTGGGGGTCTGAAATTTTAGTACATGTGGGTAGAGTGTGCCTATGTGACCAGCCTCCAATAAAAACCCTGTGCACTGAGTCTCTAATGGGCTTCCTGGCTACAAACTTTTTACACACATCTTCATTGCTTGGGGAAGTGTGCACTCTGTGACCTTTCGTGGAAAGGAAAAAGCATATGGAAGCCTGCTCATTTATTCCATTAGATCCCACTTGTGTATTTTTCCTTTATGATCTGTGTGTCTGTACATTATTGCTGTAATAGATCTCAGTCATGATTAGAACTATAGGTAGAATCCCAAACTCCAAGCCAAACTCACTGCTGTGGAGTCAGTCCTGACTCATGGTGACACCTCCTTGGATTTCTGAGGCGCTATTACTACGAAAGTAGATTGCCCAACCTTCCTTACGAGGAGTGGCTGGTGGGTTTGAACCTCTGGTTAGCAGTCAAATGCCTTAGGCACTATGCCACCAGAGCTCCCAAGTCTTAGCAAATCTTTGAGTGTGGGATCGATCTTGGGAACCTTTGATTAGGTGGCCACACCATTCTGGATAGCTGTGGTAAAATGGGATTAGAGGAAGGTAAGAATGGAGGTGAGTAGACAATTAGGAGACTGTTAAAATTAATTAAGCAAGAAATGGTGAACAACTGAACTAAAGTTGCAGCAGAAATGGAGAGAAGAGAACTATTGTGGAGATCTGAAGAACACAGTCTTTGGCAACGAAGTGGAAGGTGATAATCAGGCAAGAATGACTCCCACGTCACTGATATGAATAACTGATTGGATAATGGTACCATTCACAGGAATGAGCAACAGAGAAGCAGGTTTAGAGAGAAGGACAGTGATTATAGTGTAGGGCATTTGAATTTGAGCTAGTTCCACATCTTTAGATAGGAAAAATCAGGATTACTCTTTCTAAGGAAAGCTCCCACTGGCTAAATTGTATAAATTATGATTATTAAATGAAATAATTTGAGTTTTGAAAGGCTGTAAGTTTCATAATGATACTCAAAAGAGAAAGTTAATATAAAGTGTACAAAAATGGCTGTAATACAAAGAAGGCAATGCTTAAGCTTTTAGTTATATAAATGAGTGCTTTTTTTCCC